TCCTTGCTACTAGTAGTAAGGCTAGGAGCCAATAGTAGCGTCCTTGCCACTAAAGTCGATAAACTCACTGTGATGAAATGACCAAAAGAACCACCGAACCAGCAAGACACGAGGGGATAATTTCGAATGGATAAGGAGAGTATGTTTCTTTGGGAATTGCTTCTGCATTTTGCGAGCTTCTTCTTCACTGCGCCTCTTCAATCAGCGCAAGGAACATGCCATTGGATGGCTCCAGAAGTCTTTGTAAGCGACACCTATGATGAGAAGGCACAAGAAGAGCCTTTATAGGTCAGTATCCTAAAAATCTAGAAGCCGAATCATTAGTGCGAGCGCTTCTTCAAGGAAGCTTCCCCCGCCGTCTTTAGGGCGGCGGGGGGAGCTTCCTTGACGAAGCGTGAGCTATGCTGCGTCCAGTTCCTAGTATCTTCCTTGCAGGTGGTAGAAGAAACAACAAGAGTAAAAACAAGAGACGGTATTTCTTGTTTCTTGCTGAGCAATCTTCCATTGCAACTGTGCAATCCACTTTTGCACCCGATTGGCACCAGCTTGTTGAGGTGGACTTGTACTCTTATGCCATGATCCTTTTCGAGTGGCTCTTTCGAGCTTGACGGGTATGGAAGAGGGCAGGGCACATTGGTACATTTTCAGTGCTACTGTCACCTCTGTCACCTTTTTTTTGCACGTTTTTAGGAATTTGTCTTCGTTTGTTTGAGCATTCCCTTAAGCTCAGCTTAAGACCTACGTTTAGTATGTACGATGATTTGTGAACGTGTGGTCCATTTGAGGTTGTCATCCTCTGCAGGATTCGCTCCTAGTGTTTCTGCAAAGGCCCCATAAGTTAATGAGGGTGCCAAGGGATTTTGGTCGACTTGAAAGGATAGCGCGAGGACATGAAGGGCTTTTGAGTGCTTGAATGAAGTATTCTAGGTTGGAGGCCATCGCTATTAAAAGGTTGAAGGCCATTGGAGGAGAAATGAGAAAGTTCAGAAAGGAGAAGACAAATGAATAACAGGATGACAAAGAGACTAAAAGAGGACGAAACAAATGCAATGAGAAAATGCAGTTATTCAAGCAAAACATTTGGGAGGATTTTATCTATGGATCTTTGTTTTTTGGCATATTTATTTTCTATTTTGTTTAGTGGTCAGTATTTTGGCAAACCCAACTCCTGTCATCTCATCTGGCCTTCCTCCCTTCATTCATGGCCCAAAGAAGACAAACCCCACAACAACAAACCTGCTTAGGACACTTCTGTGTTTCTTGTCACTGAGATGCTTCACACTTGTTAGTCGTGTTGTGTTTTGTTCCTGTTCGGGTCCTTTGTGGATATCTTGTTTGGCTGTGTCAGACTCAATCCCAAACCACTTCGAAAAGAGGAGAGATTGGAACATCAGATATTCACTTACATTGCTTGATGAATCTGGGGCCAACATGTCCACAGTGCAACGATGAAAAGCATTCTTCCGAGCCACACAACACTTTGTGGTGCACGGTGTAGTGTTTACCTAAATCTTGCCAGTGGTTTACCGCTAGCTGCTGCTGTATGGTGCACATTTGTGCAAATGCTGTTTATGCCTCGTTTAGTAGTTGGCACGTGAAGACCTGTGTGGGGCACAAGAAAGTCAAGAAATCACATACAGTGGTAACCCCTAACTTGCCATGCCATGAAGTGTTCATGTACAGGTTAGGTCGTCGGTCGCTGAACTTTGTTTCACTCCGACGCCCGTCATGGCTCAAGAAACAGGCGCGCCCGTGCCTGCTTCAGGGTGCACTTCGTTCGCACGCCGTCTGTGCGCGCCCACACTTGCTTTCGTGCCGCGCCGCCGCCAGGTTGCCGTAAAGAGCTCCCTACCGGTCGCACCCCACCAACCACACTACGGGGACTAAGTGTTCTGATACCCCTCGCCGTGTGCCGACCCGGCTGCGGGTCAGCTGTACCATTGGGTACCTTGCTGTAAACCTCCCACTTCGTAGATTGTGGTGGTTTTTCTTTGATATACCCGAACCCTTGTCCATTTCATCAAGAAACGTCATCCCTTGTTACCCTTGTTACTAGCGATGGCCTCCGGCCTAATAGCCTCAACATAGAGAAAATAAATACATCCAATAGCGATGGCATCCAACAAAAGAGCGATGGCCTCCAACCTGCTTCAATGGATTTCATTGCCGTGCCAGGGTACTTTGCCAAGAGATTCCCTTTGAGGCCATCCAGTGACACGCCGTGACATGCTTTGGCTTTGACAAAGTGATTGCAGTGCTACTCAGGATCAAAACCCTGCAGACATAGGGCACCTCTGTGTGAAAGGCTGTCGCTGGGGGCCCTAATTTTGATCTGGGGTTTAGTTCTCCGGAACAGATTGGTGTGTGAAAGCATTTAAGCACAGGATAGCTTTGGCCTTTTGCTGAAGGTCCTGACTTGGCATCTGCAGCTCACTCAAATCAGATATGAGTATTTGGTTTATTTTATCATTTCACCGGGTTGTGTGAGTCATGTGTTGTATGCCCCAGGTGCCTGACGAATGTCCTGAAGTCTTGGTGCAACTAATGCAAACTTGCTGGGCAAACGCCTCAATTGTGGAAGGCTGTCAAGTCACTCTTCAAAGGAAAATTCTTTTCCCATGACCGGTTTCCAGTGACTTTTCTCCTTTTCGTATCTCAGAATCAACGAGTTTTCTAAAAAGATGTCATTGGTTTTGGGTCGAAACCTTTGATGTGAAGCTCCATCCGTGCTATATGACATCTTGCAGTGCACGCTTCTAGTGTATGCTGACGACTTGTTGCTTGGAATCAGTACACCGTAAGGACCATAAGTATTCTGTCAGAGCTGAGCTTGACAGTTCTCCATATGTAAAGAATATTGAACCAAAGGCCTTAAGCTGTAGCATTTGAAGTTTTTTTGGCAGAGCTTTTGGACGGGGAATGGACGGGTCATCCTGTATATCACAAGACCCACAGATCCATTTACTGAAAGTCACCCGACACCAGAAACCAGAGGGTATGCACTTCGTTGCATTGGCTCAAGTGGAAAAAGAGCGTGAGCGAGTACAGCTAGTTGCTCTTCATGGTAGCGGAGCCATGGCATCTTTACCAGATCCAGGATCTCCTGCAGTTGAAACTGGGAACCACTGGCGCTGGTGGTCCTGACTCATATGCATCATACGCGGTGGCGTATTCACACGTGTGGTCAATGCTTCTACTGCAGGTACCAATGAACCAATAGCATCTTGCAAGGATCTAGCCACGGTAGCTAAACTGGACACTTGCTGTTCCAAACCTTGGAAACGCTCAGTGCTAACTGATGCCCCTCACCAGATGGTTTCCAATTGCCGGTCCCACCTTCCGGAAGTCCAAGAGATAGGAATGTTGATTTGTTGCAAATTCAGGATCCATGGCAGAATTTCCGTCGCAATGTTCAAGACACGCCTTTCAATAATCCTGACCCAGCAAATGTCAATCTTCTTCCACCAGGGATGCAGCAGTCACCAACTGCACTTCGAGATGCTGTTGAAGTGTACAAAGGAAAGGGAGATCTGAGTCCTTTCAGGCGAAGTGAGAGACGGATGCCAGCTTATCCAGTTCCCCAAAATGGACCACAAGACCAGAAGAAGTAGAGGGGTTCATGAGCTACATCCAAGAGTTAGCTTCATGGGCTGGATTAGGAGACAATGAATGGCCACGAGAGATCCTTTGGTCCCTTCGAAGTCTGACCGCGATCACCTGGAATCAGATGAATGCAGCGCAGATCACCAGGTCCACTCGGTGGCTTTCGATTTTGAAACAAGTGTTTGCCGGTCGTGCTAGAGTGAGCTTGATTTTGAGAAACTACGAATCGTCACAAAACCGTATGAACTGTTGTGGCTATGAGGGAGGGAGGGAGGGAGGGAGGTCGGCACGAGAGTTTGGAATCAAGACCAGAACAGAGTTGTTGTTCTTTCGCAACCGAATCACCAGTGGAACTTTCAAGTGTGCCACCATCCCCAGATCCAGCGTGAGTTGTTCATAAGTTTGCACGCATTCAGCAACTGATTGATCCAAGTGTGAACAGTCAACAGCTGGAAATCATGGAAGCTGACCAGATTTTGATTCTTCTTCGATGCTTGTCGCCAGCGGCTCGTTCTCAATGTTGTGCAGGAAAGCTTTCAGGCGTACTCAGATGCTGCCCTGAGGTATGAAGCACAACAACGAGCGTGGTCTGAGCTGAACCACAAGCCCATTGCGCCGTTTAAGGAGAAAGGTAAAGGCAAAACTGACAAAGGCAAGAGCAAAGGTAAAGGTAAGAGCAAGAATGATGAGCGCCAGACCGAGAAGACTGAGACCTGTTCGTGCTTTGAGTGTGACAAAGCAGGCTACATTTCCAGAGATTGCCCCCTTATATCGCACAAATCGAGTGATGGCAAGAGCAAATTCAAAGGAAAAAGCCAAGATACAGGAAAGGGCAAATCCAAAAGTAAGAAGGGTAAGCAGCAGAGTTTTCGGAATCCTCAGATGCCGATGATGCATGGTCAGAAGCAGATGAAGGAGGTCGTCTTGCAGCGTTGTTGAACTCAGACATGTGCCAGGGTTGAACCGCCAAAAGAGAAGAAGTTGAGCGCATTGTTTGGACGTTGGTTTTGTTGCATGTTCGCCATCCTGTCATTGTTTTGACATGTCTCACGATGCATTTCTGTCATAGGTATCGGTATTTCGGACAAGAGTGTTTCCATCCATTCTTTTCGTCGGCCACGGAAACTCCGATCGAAGCAGGGTATTGGCTTGTCGATTCGGGAGCTTCGCGAACTGTTGTGAGTTCAGACGCTTTGAGTGCATATCGCGTCATTCGTGAACGATGTCTTGACAACCCACTTTCGTTCCAGACAGCAAGTGGTGACGCCATCCATGTTTCGAGAGATGTGTTCATCGAAGTTTACTTCCGAACTCAGGTTGGTTTCCAGATGGAGTATGAGAAGTGCAAGACATTGCGCTATGAGCTTCGATGTGTCGTGGCACCAGTGCAGCATAATCTCCTTTCTGTGACGCAACTTGTGGGAAAGGGAGCTAAGTTCGAGATGAGTGGAGACGGAACATTTATCATCCTAGATGACCGAAGACAATTGATGTGTGATGTTTGGTCCGGTGTACCATGGCTTCATGCTAGTCAGTCTCGAAAGCAAAGCATTTGGCATGCCTGCGGACATGGAAGTAGATTCAGAAGGCTCGCAAGATACCATGCATGTTGACAAACTGTCTAGCAGCCTGACATCGCCGACCGAGTCGATCGCAATCAATCATTTGACTAGTGCATTGAAGCGGAAACCAAAATTGCATGCAAGTGTTTTGTTAGGTGAAGAGAATTTTTTTACGCTTTGGAAGAAGAGTACCCTCCCCATGAGGAAGACATGGAAGACCACCCCATTCCAGCAGATTTCGAAGATGAGGAATTGTCCAAAGTTGAGAAAGCCCAGAGTTCCCATCCGATTTGAAGCTGTTGAAGAAACGCGAGGAAGAAGAGCTTGTATTCCATCGACTGCGAGGACACACACCATTCCATTCAAGCTGATTTCTTTTTCATTGGGGATTACAAATTCCTAGCTCTGTCAGAAGTGATGACTGGATTGATTGGTTGTGCCTTATGTGCCGGTGAGACAAACACGGACATTCGTGCGTTTTTCAATCAGTTGGGATTGTTGGTCATGTCGCCGTCGGAAGCACATCTAGCAGTAGAGGTGAGAACAGACGCAGAGAAAGCAGTTGCTTCGATTTTCAAAAGAGCCAACCTTCCCGTTCCACTTCACACAAATGAGGCGGCGCCGCAAAGCCACCAAACCGTAGGACACTGCGAACGCACCGTTCGTCGCTTCAAAGAGATGATTGGATGTATCCAAGCAGACTTACGGAGTCAGGGGTTTGCCTTGAAAGAAACTAAGGAAGCCTACCGAGCAGTGATGTGTTATGTAGCCCAAACGCATAACCACTTTGGAATCAGCAGTGATTTCGGAAATCGTCGTTCGCCGATCCAGTTGGTCACTCAAAGGGATTACACATTGCCCACATCCACCATGTTTGGAGCAATTGTGTTAGAAGGTTCCAGATTTGTTTTGGGTGCATACATTCGGTAGCTTTGCACATGAAGTGCAGTGAAATGCAAAGATGGGACAATCAAGCAGTTCAAGACAGAAGTTCGTCCTTCGAACAAGATTTGTTGGGAGTGTTCATTTTGTCCTGACATTCTCGCAAAGGCGGCAGATGATGATGCACCTGCCGGAGAGCTGGACATCAAGGATTTGCAAGATCTTGTTCATCCGCGCGTGCCTGTGTATGATCGAACAAAGTTATATTGCTACCTCCGATCGCTTGGTTAAGGTCAGAAGGTTTGACTAAGGATTGCAAAGCGTGCGATGCTATTCGAACCAAGGGTACTAGGAAAGGACATACCCGTAGCAGAGGATGCTTTCGTCGATACACCGACTGGGTCAAAGCGCAACAAGAGAAGTTTGAGGGAAAGCCTGCAGCGGCAAACAAATCCAGTCGAGCTGAGTTGGAAGCCAAACCAAAGGATAGTTCAGTTCCGAAGATGGTAGTTCCACCAGATGCAAAGCCATTTCGACCATCAATTCCTGTTTCCTCCCCAGGTCATCCAACCAAAGGTCTTAGGATGAGAGTAAGCGTCCTCCTGGTTCTCTTCAGCCTCCAGCAGTGGTTGGACTGCCATCTGAGATGCCTTCTTTATACCTAATGTACCACCTCCAGTGATTTTGCCAGAAGAAGATGTTCGGATGGATCGGGGCGGGGAAGACGATGTGAGCCCAACCGCGTGATCGATCGCTCCGAGCTGACTCAGAGTATGCGCGAACTGAGCCTCCAGAGGATATGGCAGTTGAACCAGAGCCAGATGACATGGACATTGGGATGTTTCTTTGTTCACCGCCAGAGCATTCAGGTGCAAGTCATGGCATTTTGTTTCCTATCTTTGTGCCAAAGGGAAAGGACTTTGATGGAGTTCGTTCGTCGACGTTCTCATTGTGTGGGACAGACATCTTGTTGACCGAACCGTCGCAGGCAGTGTCAGAAGATGGTATGACCACTTTCACTGTTGAACAGGCCATCAAAGGTCGTGAGACAGAGTTGACAGCCATGAACGATCTAGATGCGGGAGATGTTTTGGGAGAGGATGAGGCCCTTGCACTGTGCGCGTCTTGAGGCACTCAGGCCAGTCCTTGCAGATGGGTTCTGACCGAGAAGGAATCCAAAGGGGAATTGCTCAGCAGATTGCTCGGCAATGAGGCTAGGCATTTCGTCTAGTACACCTTCTCTAGAGAGTTTCAGGATCGCGTTGACCTTGATCTCTGTTTGGGATTTGGTGTGCGAGTCGTTGGACATCAGTATAGCCTTTTTGCACTCGGATTTACCTCCAGGCGTCGCCGCAGTGGTGAGGTTGCCAACAGGCCTTTCCATGAGTGAAACGATGTATAAGCCTGCATACCTAGATTTGCGTAAGGCGATGAACGGCCTTCAATCAGCGGCAAAGGTTTGGTTGTTGACTTGTTCCATTGAGTTGAAAGAGATTGGTTTGATCAGTTCGCCATCTGAGCCCACAATCCTGTGCGGTCAATTGAAAGAGAGTAAAGCTTTTGGAGTCATTGTGATTTATGTGGATGATTAGCTGATTGGATCTTCCAGCAGAGAAGGGATCCAAGAAATCAAAGACACATTGGGTTCCAGGTTGAAAGTGAAATCCACTGGAGTGAGGTTCGATTACATTTCTTGGAAGGGTTGTTTGTAGATTGCCATTTCGTCCAATGTCCAAGTGAGAGTTCATCCATCGTATCTTGAACCGGTGTTCCAAGAGTTTGATGTGAAGCCAACCACCATTCCGCCAGATGTCCTGACCGACTTAGGCAAGATCAGAGCACAACGCTACCGAAGGATACTGGGTGGGACGATATGGAAAAGCGGAAATCCACCACTGGGGGTGCGATCTATTGGCATGGATGCCTTATCAAAGCAGTTTCACGAGTTCAGGGATGTGTGACTTTGTCATCATGTGAAGCAGAAGCCATCTCCTTGTGTACTATGGTAAAGGAAGCCATAGGGATTCGACACCTTGTTGAGTTTGTCAGCCGATTTTGATAGTGTTCATGACTTGGAAGAAATGGTGAACACCAAAGCAAATTGTGAGTTCGACGTGGTTGGGAGAAGCAGCTTAGATTACCAGTCAATTCAATTGTTGAGCGGTTTGGAATCGTGTTTAGCAGTCATGAAGAATGATGGACTGAGCAGAAGGGTTTGTCATTTGTCGTTGTCTGTTTGCTATGTACAGGAGTTGGTCAACAATGGTGTTGTTATCCTGAACTGGGTAGGTACAGCAGATTGTGTTGCAGATCTTTCCGCCAAGATCCTTCGAAGGAAGAGCATTTTTCGGCGTGCAGAGAATTTAGGGGCTGTAGACGTCGACCCGCCAGAGAGCTGGCAGTTGTCACCAAAAAAATTCAATACCCTGCACCGGAGAGGTTTTGGAATGGAAGACTTTCCAAAGAGATTTAAAATCTCAATAAGAGATTTAAAATGCAAAAAAAATGTTTTAAATGAAAATCTTAGCAACAATCAACTCAAAAAATCTCAAAAAATCTCGAAAAATCTCAAAAAATCTCGAAACATCTCAAAAAATCTCGAGGGGATAAAAGGAAAAATCATTTTAACAAATCAAAAAATCTCAAAAAATCTCGAAATATCTCGAAAAATCTCGAAACATGAGAAAATATGCAAAAATATGCAAAAACATAATTTCACATGCAAACTGGAGCGTGATATGACTGCTGCAGTCAGTTGTGTTCAGCTGTTAGGATAACTTCTCCCCAAGAAACACAATTTGATTAACCATGTTGTGTTTGAGGTGTTTTCCCCCAAAATAGTACCTTTTTTTAAAACAAAAAAATAAAATAAAAAAGACATGTGAAAAATGTGGAAAAATGTTTTTAAAATATGAAAATATGATCAAATATGTGGAAAATTGATAAAAACATGTGAAAAATGCAAAAGAAGTAAAGAAACATAAAATTTCATGCGACCCTGCTCTGATCTAATCCTTCTCTGATCTAGGTGATTGAATTTTTCTGGTGAAGTTGGAGTGTTCGAAGCAAGCTTCGAAACGGAAACCTAGGGTTTCGGACCCAGAGGGATCGAGTGGTTCACGAGGTGAACGTGCCGAACATAAGGTTCAGGCGGCCGAACATGAGGTTCAGGCGTATGCGTCCGGGAGGACGGTTGTGTTCGATTCGGAAGCGTACGAGCCTGATGATGATCAGGTGGGCTCTGAGCTGGCTAGCAAGCTAGAGCTGGACTTCGCGAAGAAGTTGTTGCCAGTAGAGGTGTTGCCCTTAGAGGTGTTGCCCGTAGAGGTGTTGCCCATGGAGGCGTTGCCCGTAGAGGCGGCTACGCGATGTCTTCAGTCGTTCCGGAAAAGGTTGATACAGATTGCGTCAGCCATCCATATGGGTCAGTGTACACACGTGATAGTTGATGTTTGTACTAGTGGCAGAGCCCGTTTTACCCAGACTGAAAACAAGTTTCATTTCCTAAGTTGAGAGTTGTTTCAATCACCATGGATACCCCTGTATCACATGTGTGTAAGATGACTTGCGATTGGATGCAGCAGATCGGGAATTTAGTGACCATCCTTGCTTGAGGATCACCGCCTTGTACTGGTGGGAGTCTTATGTTGCAGCTCTGTTCGAATGGGAAGAGTCTCTATGAACGCCATTGGTCCGAGTTTGTCCCAATTCTCCATGATGTTGAGTCAATTTTCCAAGAGGGACATGTCAAGGCGTTGGAGCTTTCGAATAGTTGTAGATACTGGAAAGAGCAAGAGATTGAGTTGTTTGTGGAGCGTCAGGGTCTGAAGCGTGAGATCGTGGTAGCGAGATGTGCGTTCTCGACAGAAGAGGTTCGAGCGAAGCACGGGTTCAGGATCATGAGCAGTCATGATGAGTTGGCCAAGAAGATGCCGGTGTGTGAATGTTTCAAGCATGCGCCCCTGAATCATCAGGATCCGAAGAGTCTTGGTTTATATCCTTATCGTTTCGCACTAAGGTTTGCCAGGAACTTCATGAAGATTTAAATGAGATCTCACGTGTTTAAAGATGGATATCCGAAACGTATCACTTCGAGCTTGCAGGCGCAGACTTTTCTTGATTCGACTAAGTTGAGCCAATCTTCATCTTTTGCTTAGCCATGTCCGACACTCCAGATTCGGGTACCTCTGCGAGAGAAGCTCGGAACTTGGGTGAACCGTATGTTGCAGAAGATGATTTCTTTCATCTCTTAGCAGATGATGTACGTACAGCAGATCAGTCTCCAGACCATACAGGAAGGTTGGACAATGTTGCGGGAGTGAGTTCAAGTGATCCACCTAGAGGTTCACAGAATGATACCGGATCCAATGTTGATGCTCAAGGGATTGTTGCGCCGCGTCGAAGTTCAGCAGGAATTGTGATGACCACCTTTAGCCGAAGAGAGGTTGTGCACTTTTCCACGTGCCATCATTTGGCACGAGCCGATGATTTCTTGAGTACAAGACTTGCGAGTGTATCAATTTTGATATTGTGGAACCTGGATGCCAGCTATACGGCGATTTTCCAAGAGAATGTTCGCAAGAACGATTTCTGCACATTGGTTCATACTGCGCTTTTCGCCAATCGGACACCTTGGTGAAATATCGGGTGTTTTCGAATTGCTATGGTTCAAAGCCTCGTGGTTAGAATTCAAACCTGCTGAGATCCACAGTATTCCGGTCCTAGTTCCTTGATTGATTTCGATCACTGGAATGCTGATTTAGATGTTCCGATGAGCTGTGGAAGAGAGATTTTTCAATGCAACAGCCGTTCAGCATGGGGGGGTGTGAAGCTCCTTCCGTGCTATATGACATCTTGCAGTGTACGCTTCTAGCGTATGCTGAAGACTTGTTGCATGGAATCAGTACACCATAAGTACTCTATCAGAGCTGAGCTCGACAGTTCTCCATATGTCAAGAATATTGAACCAAAGGCCAAGCTGTAGCATCTGGAGCATATTGTGGCAGAGCTTTTGGACAGGTAATGGACGGATCATCCTGTATATCACAAGATCCACAGATCCATTTACTGAAAGTCACCGGACACCAGAAACCAGAGGTCAATCGGGTATGCACTTCGTTGCATTGGCTCAAGTGGAAAAAGAGCGTGAGCGAGTACAGTTGCTCTTCATTTGAGGCTGGCACACCTGCCAAGAGACCACCTTTTTCTGAGCTTGGAGCTTAATGAGCTCAGTGCTGTTAGCGTAACTCGTGAGCAAAACGAACCTTCTTCCTTTTCTTTTGTGTTTGTTTCTATTAGCGATGGCCTCCACCCTAGAAGTGATTGCCTCCACCCTAGGTTGGAGGCCATCTTTACTAGGGTTGAGGCCATTGCTATTAGGTTGGAGGCCATCGCTACTAATAACAATGCCCTCCACCCTGGTAGCGTCTCATGTGCCATTTTGATTCTTCCTCAGCCAAGTGAATTTGCAACTTGGCAACTTGGCATTTTTCTGACCTTGTCGAAATGACACCCAGTTTCTATCACTGCAGGAATTTCTTTGTATTGACACCCTCCAGACTCCAGCATGTCTCATGTTCGAAAAACGTTTATGTTTGAACAGCTTTTGCGCCTCATAGCTTTCTGGTGCAAAACAGCTGCCACAGCATTGATTGATGCCCAAAACATTTTCCGTTTTTGCGTTTGATGTTCTTAGGATTCTCCCAATTCTGGAGCAGGTGCCAGCCTGAGTTGCATTCATGTGCCTTTTTTTGGATGCCGCATTCCCTTCTGTCAGGTTGAGATTCCACAGTGATTGATGCAAACAGTGGAAAAAAGTGAGTGAGAGCGCACAGTCTCAAGTGCTTGTAATCGGGTTGGCAAGAAATTCTTTTTGTGTGACAAGTTTGGACAGCGGCAGCCAGTTTTTTGTTGTCGACAAATCAGCTTATCCAACATGTTTGCGTTCAAGTCTCGATGGAAGTTCCGTAATCAAACAGGGAAACGAAAAAAGACAAAGAACAAACCCCAATGGCGATGGCCTCCATAAATGCAATAGTTTTCAGAGCTTGGTAAACCGAGTTTATAACCGACAGGCACACACACAATGATTCCAGTAAGCGATGGCATGTCAGACACCACGAGGGCAATCTACCGAAGGCAGTCTTTAGAGCGTGACATTTCACCAAGTCTAAAGTAAAACTTGTTGACTAAATGCAGAAACATTTGAACACTTGTAGTAGCAAGGTGCATCGCTACTAGTAGCAAGAAGCTACTAGTAGCTACGTGCTTAACAAGCTACCAGTAGCTAAGTGCATCGCTACCAGTAACAAGTACATCGCCATTAGTAGCTGCTACTAGTAACACGTGCATCGGACTAGATTGAAGTTACAAATTGCAGGAGCCCTTTGCATTTGTCTCGTGGCTCTTGGTGCGATCTGCCAAAGACTGAATCTGTTACGTGTGGATCCCTGTGGGAAGGTCTTTCAAGGGGGAACACACTTGGGATGCAAATAGCTACTAGAAAGAAGCTAGTAGAAACAAGTGCCACGCTACTAGTAACAAGTGCCACGCTACTAGGAACAAGTGCCTTACTAGTAGTAACAAGGACGCTACTAGGAGCAAAGGGCATCGCTACGAACGGAGCAAGGACGCTACTAGGGGCTCCTGGCCTCACGACTAGGAACAAAGGAAGCTACAAGGGATGCACTCTGGTTACTCTTGTTTCTTTATTCTTGTTTCTTGCCATCCACAGGGCTGATTCCCACAGGTCAAGTGAGCATCGGGCGGACCTGAACCGTGCACTGCTTTTGATCAAGGCAGAATTCCAAAGCAATTGAAATAACTTTTCGATCAAACGTTCATTTCCCAAGTGCTTTTAGCATGTAATTGCTTAATTTCTCTTGGCACCCCACATTTCCTACAGGGGAAAGTACCTGGAGACCGAGTGCGAGACCCGAGTGGGGACCCCAGACCGCCCCAAACGTTTTGAAGCGCCCTTACTTTGCCATAGCCTATACCCTAGAAGCGACGGCCTCCAACCCAAGAGCGCCATATCTTTCGGAAATCTTTTCATTCTTCGCTTTTAGGAGCAAGGACGCTACTAGGGGCTCCTGGCCTTACTAGGAGCAAGAAGCTACTAGGAGCAAAGGGCATCGCTACTAGTAGGAGCAAGAAGCTACTATGTCTTTCTTTTTGTGTTCTTTGTACTGGGAGCTCCGCTCTCCCTCTCCCTTGCAGGTCCTTTCAACCAGACTTGGCAGGACATAAACTTTACGAGATTTGGACCAAAAACAAGACGAAGAAAGAGACAACTTTGCTACAGAGCCCTGTTCATACTTTTACATTTTGCAGTATTTTTGCATTCTTCATTCTTTTCGTAATGTGATCTACTTTTTGGAGGAGCGCTCGTGGCCCGAGTCTTGTGCATGGCTAAGATGTCTGAACTTGCTTCTCGCCGACCACGGCGCTCACCAAAACCAGTGGAACCAAGGCCCAAGTGGCACAAGCCACCGCTTGACATCCTCCCCCGCAACGACCCGAGGACACCAATTTCATCAAATGTTAGCTCATTAGGTTGGAGGCCATTGCTACTAGGATGGAGGCCATTGCTAATAGTATTAGGTTCCTTTCCCAGCTCAGAGCTGGAACGTTTTAAGGTTCGGAAGTGGAGCTTTGAGTGGGAGCCTTGTGAAGATCGGGAGTGGTCACGGTGGCCGGAGTGTTGAAGAAAGGAAGGCACCGCAGCCGCCCCTTTCTGCTTTCAGGCGAGTGCCTTCTTTACTTCCGAACTCATTGGAGCGGGACACAGGCTGGCAGGGGGAAGCCAGAATGTGCCTCAACTTGGTGCAAAGAAAGAACGACATAAAGAAAGAAACAAAGAAAGAAAGACAGAAAGGAAGGAAGGAAGGAAAGTCTAATAGCGATGGCCTCCACCTCAACTCAGTTTCACCAATTGAAGAGACTGCTGACCTTTGTGATGCTTGGAATTGAAGTGGCACAAGACTCTACAGGCGCTTTGCTGCGTATCTGCAACCACTGCAAACAGATTTTTCCTCTACAGGTTTGTTTGGCCGCTCATGCGCTGGACGCCCGCCGTGTCAGTATGGGTGCCCAAGAAAAGTGCCTGAACATGTTGAAGCAACGCTATGTTCAGCAAGCATGTTCTCAGAGCGAAGTGCAAAAGATTTGCGGTGTTTTGACAAATTATGTATCCCTAGTAGCGTCCTTGCTCCTAGTAGCGAGGTTAGGAGCCCCTAGTAGCGTCCTTGTTACTAAAGGCGTGAGAAAGAAACAGGCAAAAACACAATCGTTTCTCTCCATTGTGACGTCGCAGGTCTCTGGGGCTGAGATTTGCAACAGCATCGTGCTGGCCTGGTGGAGCACCTCCAGGTCTGCAGTTTTTGCTTTGTTGCCCCTAGTAGCCTTCTTGTTCATAGTAGTAAGGCACTTGTTACTAGTAGCTTCTTGTTTCTAATAGAAAACATTGTTACTAGTAGTAAGGCACTTGTTACTACTAGTAAGGCACTTGTTTCTAGTAGCTTCTTGTTTCTAATAGCAAACATTGTTACTAGTAGTAAGGCACTTGTTACTA